GGCCTAAGCCTGCAGTAGGAGGCGAACAGGCGCCGCGCCGCCGCGTGCCCCCCCCCCAACTAAGATAGCACCCCCCTTTTGTTAGAGACTGCTGTCGCTTGGTTAAGTGTTTTCTGAGAGCTTCCATAGAGACAACTCGTTAAACAATCGATTTCTCAAAAACAAAAGCATTCGTGGAGAATTTGGCACACGGCCTATTAGAATGAAACTCACCATTGCCCTGTCTCGCCTGTTTAGTTGCAAGGGTTTCAGTATCTCGTTGCCATGATGACTACTGATGAGTGACGTCGTGAAAACGCAAATTAATATCGCTTTACAATTCTGAGGCTACTCTATTATTCGAGACACCTGGAAGGAACTTTCTACTTTTAGTGCTAGGGACATTCATCAATGAATCATATTTTAACCAGTTTGGCTGCGCACGCATTCGCGTGCATCACGGGGGTTCAAACAGGATGATCACTATTCTTTTCTAGATTTTAGTTTTCTGTTCGGTACATCCCATTTACACCGACTATTAGGTCAAACTATATTTTCTATTTCCTACACCGCATTGAGCTACGTGTTTCAGACAGAATCGATCAAAAGACAGTACCCAATCTCTAGGTGCGAACGAAAACAACAATTCCAAGCGACGGCGGTTTTGGAGAGGGTCTTTTTTCGGGGCATGGTATATTTTTCAATTTTTGAGAAGGTTTTCTAGTTGAGAAATTCTGTCTGTGGGCAATGTTGCCTCTCATTACTGCAGAGCTGCTGAGTAAGATTCCAACGAAAGGCGGTTTCGGAGAGGGTCTTTCTTCCAAGACAGGGTTTTTTCGGAAGGTGGTAAGGCTGAAAAATTGTGTCTGTAAGCAATGTTCTCTCTCTATTACTGCAGAGCTGCTGAGTGAGATTCCAAGGTACGGCTGCTTTGGAGACACTCCTCTTTCGAAATTCATGGGTAACCCCGCCCACTTTTGCGCATGTCCTTTGTGCAAGCCCACTTCGGGGAGTGCCATGCCCAGCGTTCACATTCAACCTCTACTCCTCCTCTCACCTCTGGCATATTTTTTTCAAGGTCTCTAAGTCATCTCGGAGCCGAATTATGAGGTCTTGTAGAAGACGTTATGAGTCA